TCTCTCCCCTCCGCCTGGCTGCAGCCCGCGCGGCAGGTGCAGGCAAGGGTGCTGCTGCCGGCTGCTGGGGGCCAGCGAGGAGGGCAGAGGCCCTCCAGGCCCAGGGTTTGAGCTCTGGCACTAGGTTTTCTTGGCTTCTTGGATTGTGTGTAGGAACAAAAGGACGGCAGCAAAGGGGATGCGCCTTGCATTCAGTTACCACAGGAAGAGGTGGCGAAAGGAGATATCTCTGTGCTCTAAAAATGAAATTCCCAGCCTCGGTGTGAAGGGCTTGCTCCATGGTTGTCTCGAATCAACCAGCTGCTGTTCTCCCCAGATGTGCCTGACAACCTGATTGAAGTAGCTTCATCAATCCGTTTACCGACAGATGCGTGATCTCTCATTTCATTGCTCAAGTTACTGTTTCAAGTGGTTAAGACAATGCAAGTCTATCTTCTTAAGATTTAATTTCAGTCCTAGAATCAAGCCCCTCTCCCTGTGCTCAGCCTTCCCATGCCCTTCACTTAAGGAGATATCGGCATGGAGAATGATATACCCATTACAAAAACTGCTACATACAGGCGCGCACAGATGATTTAACCACATCTCCAGCTACAAAGCAGTACCCCTCAGTAGAAGGGGCCACCCACCTCAGGAACTGACTTTTGGGGAGGAGCACCTGAAGTAAAGGGTCACAGAAAAACGCCCTCCAGATGAAGCCTTCCCCCCTTTCCTTAAATATATATTTGCTCTAATATCTGCCATGCTTTCCACCTACTAAAGAAATGCATGTTTCATATTATTAAAGAAACTGACAACTCATTTCAATAAACATCCACTTCGCAGCTACAAAGAATGTTCATTGACAGAGAAACATTTTGAAACAGAAAGTTTGGGCTACTTAAGTGTGTCATCTTTTTAAGTGATGAGAATCACATTGTAATCTTAGTGTAAGAGGGGACAACCACAACATAAAATTGGTTACTGAGAGCTGACATACTGTCCTGAATAGTGTTCACAGCCAGATCCCTGGTCTCCCAGGCCAGGTGTGAATCCACAGCGCCCTGCCTGTTCCTTGTTCCAGGACCCCACCCTCCCGTCCTGCCTTCCTCCCCTCCAGCCTTCCATTCTCTGGGGTCCCTCTGGCTCCACAGGACACTGCTCAGCCCTCTGCTTATAGATAAGGGGCAGCAAGAGTTCCTACTTCAATACTGGCTGGCCCGCCGCTCTGGCTCCCAGACTTGAATCAGAGGAGGCTGGTTTCTAAAGCATTGGCTGATTTAAGGCAGATGGGGAATATCTTTGCAACTAGCCTATATGAAAGTACTGCTTTTCTCTCTGCCCACTTATCCTGCTTCATTTTTCTCCACAGTGTTTATCATCATTACCTGACATTACTTATTTATGGTCCTCCCATGGCTAAGAGCAGAAACTCCAGGGGGGAGGAACATGTTTTTTTGTTGTTGTTGCTGGTTGGTTTTTTCAATCCTCTCTCGAGGATATTTTTTCCATTGATATTTTAAAGAGAGTGGAAAGGAGGGAGAGAGGGGGGAGAGAGAGAGAGACATCTATGTGAGACAGACACATCAATTGGTTGCTTCCTGCTCCAGCCCTGACCTGGACCAGGGATTGCACCTGCAATGGAGGTATGTACCCTTGGCTGGGAATTGAACCCCCGACCCTTCAGTCTGTGGGCCGATGGTCTAACCACTGAGCAACTCGGCCAGGGCAACAGGGATATGTTTTGTTCACTGCAGTGACCTCAGCACTTGGACCAGTGCCTGGCACATAATGAGTACTCATATGTGCTTGAATAAGCCATTTTTGCCCCAACTCTTATAAAGGGTTGCTTTGAATCCTCCAGGCAGAGATGCAATGATATGCACAGAGGGCCCAAACTCCATGTTCCTCTAGTGTCAAAATAGTTCACTGGGAGACTGTGTTCACTTACTGTCTCTCAACTCCGGCTGCACATACTGTCACCGAGAGAGTTCCCACAAGTCACTGGTTCTTGGCCCAACCCTAACAGGTTCTGTTTAGTTTTGTTTTTAAAGCTCTTTAAGTGATACTAATGGACAGTCACAGTTGAGAATCACTTGTTAGATGCTGCTGGGAACACAAAAACAAAATATCTGGCTCCTGCTCTCTACAATGTTAACCAGTATAACCATGGTTGCCAGTGTGCCTCAGTTTATGACCAAGTGACTAAGAGTGGGTTGAACATGCTGAGGAAGGTCAGAGGTCAGCAGCATTTTTGTTCTTGGAGTAGGATCAGAAGGCAAGTACAGATATAAGAGCCTTAAAGTAGGGGGATAATTTACATTAGGAGAGAGGAGGGTATTGTAGGGAAGGGCCGGAAAAGCATAAGCAGGGCTGAATACACAAAATGCATTAGGGGCCAATTAAAAAACAAACAAACGAAAACCAGCACTAGAGGACCAGATTAGAAACAAGTAGAAAGGAAGCTCAGAAAAACATAGCCCATACCCAGACTGTGGGTGACTTAAATAAGCCAGGGAAAAAGCTTGAACTTCATCCTAAAGGTCACATGAAGCCACAGGAGGTTTCTAAGCAGGAGAGAGATGCACCTGGTAGTGATGTACAAGAAGGAGAAAAAGAGGAAAGACTCTACACTAATAAAAGACAAACATGCAAATTGACTGTACCTTTGCTACACCTTAAGCCACACCCACCAGCCAATCAGAGCAACTATATGCAAATTAACCCAACTAAGATGGCGGCCGGCAGCCACGGAGCTGGAGCAAGCAGGAGGCTTGGTTGCCCCAATGATGGAGGAAGCCAAGCTTCCCACCTGCCACAGCGGCTCTGATCTCCACTCAAAGCAACAAAGTTTCAATTATAGAAGGTAAATAAACCCCAGATACCTGCTTTCAGCCGGCTGTGGCCACTGAGCTCGAGCGAGCAGGAGGCTTGGTTGTTCCGGCCGGCTGTAGCCTCCACAAAAGGCAACAAAGTTTCAATTATAGAAGGTAAATAAACCCCAGATACCTGCTTTCAGCCGGCTGTGGCCACTGAGCTCGAGCGAGCAGGAGGCTTGGTTGTTCCGGCCGGCTGTAGCCTCCACAAAAGGCAACAAAGTTTCAATTATAGAAGGTAAATAAACCCCAGATACCTGCTTTCAGCCGGCTGTGGCCACTGAGCTCGAGCGAGCAGGAGGCTTGGTTGTTCCGGCCGGCTGTAGCCTCCACAAAAGGCAACAAAGTTTCAATTATAGAAGGTAAATAAACCCCAGATACCTGCTTTCAGCCGGCTGTGGCCACTGAGCTCGAGCGAGCAGGAGGCTTGGTTGTTCCGGCCGGCTGTAGCCTCCACAAAAGGCAACAAAGTTTCAATTATAGAAGGTAAATAAACCCCAGATACCTGCTTTCAGCCGGCTGTGGCCACTGAGCTCGAGCGAGCAGGAGGCTTGGTTGTTCCGGCCGGCTGTAGCCTCCACAAAAGGCAACAAAGTTTCAATTATAGAAGGTAAATAAA